TGAAATGATATTTATGTTTTTTGAAAAAGTTTTAATTATGAAGACGTACATCTCGTTCAGAATTCTCAAATGGAATATCAAGTTTTTTCATGCCCCTCAGAATAGAAGCCATTCCCTGTACTATATTGTTGTAGATTACCGTTTTTTGCTGATTTATTTCATCATCAGTGAACCCATTAGTGTGCAGTAATCTGAATGATATCATTTCATTTAAAGAGGGCATTCAACATTCGCAGAGATTTTTGAAATTGTCATAATGATTCAGGAATGGAAAAACAATAATCTGAATTTTGCATTTTATTATGAAAAAAACTTTTTCTTTGTTCATTGAGACTTTTACTTTTTGTTATATTTGGACCTTGCTTTGAATTTAAAACTATAATTATGATTAGAAAATCTAACTTACCTCATTTGTTTGAGTATTGTACTTTTACCGCATTCACCAGGTCCTAAAAGCTATTCTAATTATCTTATTAATTGCTATTCGTCTGTATTCGATTTGTAAAACATGTTTATTTCGATGATTCATTTATTAATTGTTAAGAAATTCATCATTGTTGTAATTAAATGCAGTTGAATTTCTTAAATGTTGCAGAATAGACTGATTTAAAATTTCACATTGAACAATATGATCGCTGATCATTAAAATTATTGAAGATGGATATATCTGTAGCATCCAAATGAATAATAGTTTTACAAAAAAAAAGAATTACAGCGACGAACCTAAAAGAAGTAACTTAACAGTATTCTGTTGAACACCACGACTCTGAATCATTTCCCGGTCAATTGCTTTGCTCTTTGCAACCATCGTTTTTTCTTCTTGACTTTGGCATATTCCCATTTTACCGAGGATTTTTTTGATGGAGGGAATGTCGTCTAGCTAATTAGCAAGCAGTAACAGTTAAATTTTGATTTGATTTCACGTTAAAAATTTGAACGAAATAGCAATAAGATTTATAATGCGTATTAGGAATGCATCATTTGAAAATACCATTATTTATATTTTCATTTCATAGTTTTGAAAAAATTAATTAAATAGAATAGCGCATTTTTGTTGATGAATTAATTCATGAATTCTGATAAATCATCTTCAACCACAGTTTGTTTTGCAGGTCGTATGATTCGTTTGAAACCAGAAAGATCAAATTGCAATTCTTAAATTACAAAGATTATTTCACTCGTCGTTATCACATAAAATAATATTATTCGTGATGATAGAAATTTTATTGGAAATGAGTGGACATAAGGGACTGTAAAGCAAACCAAGAAAAAAACTCGGCATTAAATTTATATTTCTTTTAATATCACTATATCGTCTTACCCTGTATTTAAATACAATCAAAATCATATTGATTTTTTTTTTTGCTTTTAAAATAATTCTGCGCTATCAACAATTTCTTATAATTTGTCGTAAATTGATTAACTGGAAATGTTGTCTATTTAAGATATTAAAGTAATCATTTTTACATAAATTTCAAGTTTTTAATGATACCTGATCTTTAACTCAAAGTTCGACCACGTATGATTTCAGTAGAGGTAATATTTAAATAGTTCTTACAATATCGTTTTACAAAAATTAAAACGTCTGAGTGCAAAGGAAACTTCGCTCCTTAGTAAAAATAGAAATCTTTGAGAAAAATGAGAAATTATTGCAACATTATTTAAGACTACTTCGTAATTCGATGATTGCTTCAGTGAGGTTCAATTTTAAAATTATGGTCTTACTTTTGGATTTTATTTCCAAAGGAGGTTGGACTATCTCCACTTTGAAAGTACAACGCTCTACAATTAAGAGAAGAAAAATTTATAACAATGATTCCGTCTTGCATTTTTCAGCTTTAAAAATTGATGACAAAAAATGCAAATATTTAATGATGGATTAATAGAGGATAAAGGTGATTTGAGATGTTAGAGATGAGTAGATGAAGTTGAAAGCACTCAAATGTTTGACCGAAAATTTCCTGGGAAGTTACTCCGGAAATATTTAAAACAATCCCTTTTTAGAGTAAAAAATTTTGAATGAAAAGAGAAAAAATTTTAATTGAAAAGTCAACTTATATGATTAGAAAATTTGATAAATTCTCTTTCAGAAATTTAATTTTGATATGAACTTCGACAAGAATAAAAATAGATGTAAATAATTACGAAATTATTTCTGTTTACTTCTCTAAATGCGAGTGTATTTTTATGTTCTTAAATATGTAAGTTGCGAAAGAAATTTTTTTTTTGAGATGACAATAAATTCGAAATCAAATAATATTACTTGCTTCTCAACATTCTAATTCGTTTTTAAATCTATAAATAAAATGAAATGAAGTAAAAATCTTTTTGATTATTACTGCAGGATTTACCATCTCTCAGAGACGGTCATATCAGAAATGAATTTGTGATAGTTTATTATATTATATGCATAATAGTCGTAAAATGTCTTTTATAAGCCTCACAAATCTCGTACTGACTCGAGAATAAGATTTTCGTTTTGTTTCCTCATTCAACACATATCACAAATGAAAACTTCTCAGAGATTAATGCTTGCTTTTGAAACAATTTAAAAAAAAATAAAGAGGATGGAAAAAAGATGTTGAGAGTTGAATAATATAATAATCCAGTTTATTGAAACATGTGCGTAGAATGGCATTTCCACGGTGGGATGAATGGTTGATGAAAAGAGAAACTAATATATCCCATACCAATCTATTGCTCTGTTTGTTTCACCGATATTGAGGCAGATTTTAGAGGTAGTGATATCCATAAACCAAGACATCTGTCCTTCACTGCTTCATCACCGTGACAACCTAAACATGTCCGTTAACACTATTAATAAGCATGTAGAGTATTATTATTATCACTATTATTAATGCTTATATGGAAAGGTGAGAGGAAGAGAGGTATAATCGCCCTTGCGAAAAACAAGTGAATTATTTTTCCTGATGGATCAGTGATTGTTGTAACAGTTATATGAATTAGATAACACTTCTCGATTTCAATAATCTAAGGCATGATATCTGAAAACAGTGCTTACGTCTATCAATTCCGCAACTTTTCAGACCTTTGTTAAAAACTGCCTCAGTACTTTGATAAAGAAGTCAGGCAACGTTCAGCAATGTCATCACATAACCTTTATTTTATCAGATGTTGTTTCTAATAAAATAGTGGGTCAAATGAATATCAAACTCTTCAGTGGTTCATTTCAATAAATCATTTGAAACTGTAAGTTAAATGCATGCAAATGCATTTCATGATCGTTACGAAATAGATTAATTACGATACTATTTCCAAAAAATCACATTTGATCAAAAAAATTTTCGAAAACTCCTTGTCCGAGTGTTACGTCCTAATTTGGAAGGCAATAACCAATTTATTATCGAAATCACACGTTATATATATATTTTCATTAATTTGAAAGATCAAAAAACATGTTCATTCACGTATATTGGAAGTTTCACATGTCTGACATCCGCATCACTGATGGAAGGTTTTTTGCTTTCGGGACTTTCTTGACAAAAAATTAACGAAGCCGATATGCTTTCTTTCAGTCCTTCTAATATAGCGACTACAAAACAAGATAATTTCTGTCTTTCAATGTAATGTTGAGGAATGCAACGAAAACAAATAAAAAAGTATTACTTTAAAAATTAATTAGATGCGCTGGATCCAAAAAGATAATTTGATAATAAAAGTGCTGAGAGGAGCAACTCACTAAAACAGTGTAGAGCAAAACAGTACTGATAATATGATCAAGTATTTAATTACATTGATTTCTTCAAATACAAAACCTTAAAATAATGTCACAATCTTCAAATACAACGGCAATCATCACTGAATGTGGCCATATGTTCAATGTATGTTCTGTTCGGCCAAAGTACTCCAACAATAACAACAGATAAAGTACTTCCAGCTAACCCGTTTAGAACCTTACCCTAATCCTTTCTCCAAATATGATTTTTTCCCCAGAGTTTCAAGGAATAAGTAAACATTTTTATGCTGTTACTTTCATACAAATAATATGATATCATTAAACCAACGAAAAATTTGGCATCAATCTTAAAAAAACAATCATTCATCAACTCTATCACAATCATCAACATCAGAAAATGCATTTTTTAGAAATGAAGAGGTTTGTTGATCACTTGGATGTTGCTGCAATATTACTTCCTGAAAATTCTCATTGCTTGCAACTATTGAAGAAGATGCTTCAGGAAGTGACTTTTCAATCGCAGGTGCAACTTCCATGTTTTCCCTCCTCAGTGGACTAGTCTAAAATAGAATCCAATTAAAGTTGAGAAGAATTAAATCAATGTTCAGATCAAGTGTCATCAATAAAATAACATAAATTTCAATGACAGTGCTGTCAGATTTATGTCATACAATATAGCAACCTTGGGTACTTCATTTGAACTATCTGCTTCTGCAGCTTGTGATGAATTGGTCGGACTGAAAGTGACACGAGCAGAACCAAAAAGACGTGACATCAAACTTCTGGTAGGTCCTAAAACACTTGTGTTCAGAAACAAAATTTAATTTCAAATTATTAGAATCTACAACTTGCTCAACAGCACTAAATAAGGTCATAAATAATAATATAAAGTAATGAAACAGAAGAATCGACAACCCACCTTTTAAATCAGCTAGAAATAAAGTCTAAAAACTAGATGTTATTTCTTTATATCACCATAGCACTCGTAACATACACTAACAAACCGATACTTATTCGACTCTTAATAATCTTTTCTCCAGCAAAAAAATATTAAAACGAGAATTTAGCAAAACAAACCTGGTAGTTGACTTGTTGAGCAGCTTGCTACACTATCGCTTGCACTACCTAAAACTCCGATATTTCCCAAAAAATTTCTGAAAATGCCTAAGAGAACATGCATCTTTTTCTCAAAACTTCTCAAAAGGAATTTATTGAAATGAAAATCCGAAGTCGCCCTTTTCGTTGATAAAATGTGATGTGAAAAGTTCATGTTCAGATAGATTTTCAATATCTGAATCTCAAGTATTAAAAAAGAGCAATACATATCTGCTGACCAGCACATATTTTACGTTCCGATAGTTCATCGGTTGCAGAAGATCCCTGAAGAGGACGACGTCTATTACGCGCACCATTTTCCGTTTGCCCAATTATTATTTGTGCTTGGTGAAGCTCAGCCCGTAATAATATATCCAAAATGTTACGATACATTGCATTACTAACTTCTATAAGCCTTAAATATAATCAAATCAGAGCCGTTCAATCAGAAGGTATATATTTACACACAAATATGAGCAAATTAACTTTCCCAAGTTAAACTCCAATATTAACCCTAAATTAACTGCGAGCTAAAAACATACTCATTATAAGTAGTCGTAACTTGGTTTTCGACTTTCGCGTACAACTTCTTGCAAGATGAATCAATCCTTGCAGATATTTCGTTTTTTGCAATTAATTTAACAAGCTCATTTTCCAGCTGTAATATTGGTCCAAATTTTTTCTAGAAATTACATCAAATCTATCCCAAAGTAACTCTTCTCATTATCTTAATGACTGATAAAGATATCATTCAAAAAAAACTGGAAACAAGGTTTACAACAGACAAGTTTTATATATTGACAAAAAAAAACTGATGATTGGAGCCTAATATCGGAGATAACTGCTATAAAATCGAAAAAATAATCAGGCTCAGAATAAGCTAAAAACAATGCATCAGTTTTTTAAAACAAAAAAAGATTAAAATGATTACCTCGTTAACATGAACACGAAATATAACAGCCATTTTGTCCATATTAGCGACTGCATATGGCGCAAAATACTGCACAATGGCTCGTCGCCGAATTAAATAATAGAGCTCCTTTACATGCGACCAAAGATGCATATTTAAAAGAAGCTGATCACGAATCTAAAAAAAGTTTCTCTGGAAGAGAAATAAAGCGATATGTAGATATTTATATGTAGATATTTAAGAGGGAATTTTTTTACCATACAGTCTAACAATACGAATATTACAAAGTGGATCGCGCAGTGGGAAAACTAAACACTTTTAAACACTATTCAATTTTCAATGGATGTAGAAAGTGAACCATATAGTATAAAGTAAACAATTCACTAACGATACCACTCAATCCGCTGTGGTCACTTTCTAAGAAACCTATCTTTAGTTATGGATGTCCAATAGTTTCAAACCACAGCAAAGAAAAAATTCTCTTGTGATTTGTAATGAACAAAAGATTGGAGTTTTTTGTTTACCAATTATTCATTGAAATGGTTTGCGCTTTTCATACAATAGTCTACGTAATGTGAAAAACGGAGGAAAAATATAAAACTGACAGAATTAATGAAAAAGATACCTCTTCTAAAATATCAAAACAAATTCCAAATTGACTTTTTACAAATTTTTGCAGTAATTCAACAAGTTTTGGTTCCGCTTCGAGGAATTTCCAAAACATTAAATTTCCCAGAACTTTTTCTTTCAACTCCGATCGACTAAAAGTTGCTAATGCACAAATGGTGCCGAACATAACAACATCTTTCGGAGCCAATAAAGCTGGATAATCAAAATAATCAAATTCAATCTGAAAAGACAATTCTTAAACGCACGAGCGGCTCTGTCCTATACAACTGTTACTTCAGAGTTTCATTTTTTGCCATAATTATTCATATTTGGATAATTCGTACTTTACTGAAACATTATGTAGGCTTTAGCAAGTACCTTCAAACATTTTTCGGCCACTAATCTATAATTTTTCATGTTAAGATAATTTAAAGCAGCAATTGCTCCAACTTTGGCCTTCGCAGTATCAATTATTTCTTTCATATTCCGAGTGGCTGCATAAGTTGAATTTGCAGCGAGACGACCAGGCCGACTCGTTGATGTTGCTGCCACACTTTCCACTTCCATTGCTTCAACTGCAAAAACAACTGAATGCATTAATTACTTAAAAAAAATGTTTGTGTTGAATAATTCATTTTATTCTAAAAAAAAGAATGCATGAGGAGATTCAGCACGATGAAGAAGAGTTTGTAATAAATATATCATTTGCTTATGTTATTGAGAAATTCGATTCTGAACCGAAGCAGTTTTTTAGACATAAAATTATGAAAACTTTAACTGAAGGAATATGCAGTTAATTTTTTAAGTAGGAGACTTGGTTCTTTAAAGATTCAGATAAAATGCACGCATATGCAATGAAATTATAATTAAAATTGGATGTGAAATGTACATAAATTAGAAACAATGAGTTTGGCAAATCGGACTTATAATTTTTAAAGTCCTCTAGATTAAATCTTTTGAAAGGAAAAAAAAAAACATAAATACATCTGCATGTAGGCATGATTGTTTCAAAGTCATCTGTGTTCGTTTTAAAAAATAAATCAATATTTTAAATGCATACTCAGAGCTCTCTCAACTTGCGTAAGAAGAGGCTCTACTCGATGCCAGTGATTAAGATATATCGTCACTTCTATCCAACTCATCAACATCTGTAATCAAAAAAAGCACTGAAAAAAAAAATCTTTCAACTGAAAAATTTAAAGAAATCCGCAGAAATAATCCCTTAAATTGACTCATCTTCACACTTAAAGTTTAGAATAAATTTAACTCAATCAGGAACATAACAGCCATAACTGGTTTTGGGAAAAATTTTAACTCAACAATAACGTAAGGAAGTGAAAGAAAAGGAATAATTCTGCGGCTAACGGCAATGCGTTCGTAATGAACGATTATCCTCACACGAGAAAACGTACAGCATAAACAATTACAAATACCTAACAGATTAAGTACATTGTCAGCTTTAAGATAAAGCAAATCTTTAAAAAGACCTCGATAATATGTTTTGGTGAAGTGCAATATTCTCGTATTCCACGACCATATAGCTTAGCAGCTTCTTGCAGTTGTCCCATAGCGATTTGTTGTTCAAAAAGATCATGCATGGTACGCCTCGTAGACTCCTGTATTTAATTTTTTGCAAAAAACAATAACTTTCAAATAAATTCAAGTCAAAAACTGAATTAATTATAACATGATAAAATATAACATAGTGACCATGATTATTTCTACTTCAGTAACGCACCTTGACACCTTCTTCCTTCTGCCTTTTAAATTCAACTGCAAGCATATCCAAACGAGCCTGTGATTTTGCCGTGGTTGCATCTATCCACTGCGAATTCAAACGAGGCAGATCATCAATAGCATTCGTATCCGCGGAAACACCAGCTGAGTGTAATTCAAGGGGTGCTGCACGTAGAGAATTTAAACGATGATGAGCCGCCAGATATACTTGTACATTTGAAGTGTGCTGCAAACTAAAGTAATCTACCTCTCGTAATTTTAAACTTTTCATGAAGTACAACCGCTATTCCTTAGCTATTCAAAGAATAGTATTACTGACATTAAATTTATTTTTAAAGCTCTAGCCTCTCTTCTACAAAAGGACAAATTTAGAAGAAAAAATGAAAACATAGTAAACGGAACAGCTACCTCAACAATATAATTGATAAGCATAATTAATGAATCCTTTTGTAATGGAGGACAAGTATCGGATATGAACAACAATCGATTAATCAAAGCATAACCTGAAGCGATTTACTGTTGGAACATTTTTCGAATACAAATTCAACTAATAGTTCGCAGGTTTTCTCTATTACAACATATATGTTTTCGAAAATATCTAGAAATACGCTTTCAATCCTGCTGCGAATCGCAAAAAGAAGTTTTGTAACATTTGATTGTGATAAGCAGTAACATTTAAATTTTATTAATTAGAAGTTAAATTAGCTGACAAAATAACACTTCAAGAATAACATTTTGCGTTTGTTACGCCTCATTAAATGAGAACAAAAACATTAATGAAACTTTGTACGGTAGATGATGACTTCAGTCATCCACTGTACAAAGTTTTGTTATGTAATGAAGACATTTCATTAAAAATGTGAAAAACATATCGGACTAAATCACTTAAATGTAAAATATTCACGTTCTTTTTTAATTTGGTTTTATGGTAATAAAAGATTGACGCTGTATCGACAAAACATATAGGATTAGAGTGATTCACTGAAATTACCTGTATAACTAGTTCGAATTGCTTCCAAATCAAACGGTACCGAATTAACAATGTTCTGTACAGGGGTTGGTACAACAGAGATTTTCTGAAGAGTACTACCTGAAATGAGCTAAAATGAGTACTTAACTTTTTGATAACAGAGCAATTGGATGCAAATAAATAATAGCAAGTTTAAATTGACCATTTTCTCCAGGAAGCACAGGTGAAACCATAGGTTGACCAACAAATTCGTCATCAACTTCATTTGCATTGTTTAAATCGAAATCGGTATCATCTATGGGTTCCTCCACATGGGCATCCATCGCTTCGTCCGGATCAGGCACTGACATTCTTTCTACCTGTCTATCGAACAAATCTATTCCTGAATTAAAAAAAAAAAACTACTTAGAACTTGAGAGATTGCTGGGATAAATCCGCTAATATAGAGAAAAACTTTTTAATGTATACAAGGAAAACAAGAATTCGTTTGTTCATATTAAAATTTCAGTTGAATAACAACCTTACGAGAATAGTTGACAGTAAATATGGGACCTGACTAAATATTTTGCCCGTCTTACATTATATTCGTGTTGCTTTTAGTAAAAAGTTAAATGCATGTGATGTGGTATGGATTTCGAACGAATGATGATTGGCAGTTCTGAACGAAAAGCAAAGTTGAGCAAAAAGTTACTAGCTGAAGTCATAGGTTAAGCATGACATACCTAATCAAAGATCAGAAGTGATAACAGCCCGCAGCAACCTCTCACACCACAATACAACCACAAATACCGATACTTTATCAAAACCAAATCTCGTTGTATCCCAGTAGCATACATGTACGGTGTTTTGAATGAAATCCATTATCATCCTATCACCACATGGCTAATTTATGATGCTTTCCCAATTTCTCGGATCATTCCGGAGAGACTAAGGGTAAAAAAACAGTTCACTAAATTCAGTTGTGATTGATTCTCGCTTATGATCATGGAAAACTGGTCAAGTAAAATTATAAAAGAAAAGATAGCTTAAACTTTTCAGTGGTAAATGTGGTATGGATACTCCCAGCAGTAGTCGTAATATTAACAAAAGGGGAATCAAAAATGATGGACAAGTAAGTCGCGGAGCAAAACGTCGTTGCTTCAAAAAGGATCAGCTAAAGGAAGATGTTTGTCACCAATTCTTTTTTTGTCATTCATTGAGATGAAACAATCAGTATCTTGTTAATGCATACTGCTCTTGGTTGAAAAATCAAATTTAAATTTCTGAAGTCGTTGCAAAACTTTTCTGGAAACTTGTTCTTACTTTATATTCTCTACCTCTATAAAAATCAGATTCTCTGTAGAGAACATAAAAAGAGGACTATTTTTCAGTGATAGTTACTCGTGATGTCAGCATAAATATCAGTAAAAATTTTAATGTTTTAACTTCTCTTTATATTACAGACTGGAAATGAAGACTCTGGCGAGGAAAAGTCATTTAAGGGATGGAAGGAAGACGATGATGCCCCCCTTCCCAAGTATCTACGTGATGATGTGGTTCGAATTTATGAAGATGTTATGAGTCGATATAGAAATATGATTGATGCCGAAGGCCTTGTATGTATTGCTATTTTACAGTTGAAATTAAGGAAGCATCTGTTTTCATTTCGAAAATTTGCGAAACATCCTTAACCAGTTATAAATTGAAATACAGTTCTCAAATTATAATTTTAGAAACTGTACCACAAAATGCTGCGGGAAGAACCACGCAAGAAATATATAGTAAGTGTTTACCATTAAAATCTTTTAATGCACTATTAGACTTTTGCATTTTTTTTTGTAGCTTTTTGAGATATAATTGATATATATATATATAGGTTCATTACCCACGCTCGTCGCATTGTAAGCGAAAACGCTTACCATTCGGATGCCATTCACTCATGGTACTACGCACTTGCACCCAGACCCTTTTCTCCCTGTGATGCATCATTCATCCATACAGTTCACGTGTCACCCATTCCGGTAGCAATCAACCGAGTCACCACCACCCACGCCCTACCCACCCCAAGAGCGCTGCTACCCACGTCAACTAAGCGAATAGTGCAGCCCTACTGCCTGATAATAGCTAATAATATCTCGTAAATTTCGGATTCGGCACAAACAAACTTCGGACTTAATTTGAGCATGCGACAGGGCGCTAAAGTTGTACTCCGTGATATGTGAAACTCATCCAAAATATCTGTTAGTCTAGCTTCAATCACAGGAAAATGTCGACAGTGGCAAAAATGGGTGTTCGAGTGAGGAAAAAGCCTGTTATCAAAATTATCCATAATCCGTTATACAAAGCGATTGTCAAGTAAGTTTGCTTTCTTTCTCGTTCTGCTGATTGTATTAATTAAACACTTGTGTTAATTTATATTAATTAATTGTATTGATTGCACAAAAAAGCATGTAATTGCGCTTATTTTGATACCATGAAACTGAAGGGAAATTAAAACAGAATATACTCTGTTTTACTACCCTACCTTCATGTTATTTTTCTCATTTTTTTTTTATCAGTAACAACTGATAAATGATGCAATATATAAAAGTGACCAACTTATTATAGTTGGTTGGTCTCTTTGAATCCCTGAAAAAAAGGTTCTTCTAACAATGCCTCAACATCACTTAATACTTGTCATTGTTTACAAGACGAGTTGTGATATTAATAGTAATTATGCACAAAGTTTTCTTAAAGATGTAAAACGTGTAAAAGAAGTTTAATTGGAGATGTTTAAGTTGAAAGTAAATAGGCATGCATTGCAAAAATGTTTGTTAGGTATATGTGCATTTATTTTACCTATAATGCGTGTTTTCTTTGCTTATTTTTACTTAATATTCGAATTTTTTCTTTAATAGACTGATTGTTCAGAGCACAAATGGCGACAGCTGCACCACCTCTGGGACCTAATTTGGGCAAAAGGGGCGTTAATGTGGCGAGTTTTTGCAAAGATTTCAATCGAGCGACGAGTAATATCAAACCTGGTACTTTTCTTTGTTGCATTTATTATAAATTTAATGGCCGTTGAAATTCCCGATTGGAGGAACACATCTTCATACATGTGAAATGGACTTTTTCTTTGAGTTCTTGAGAATTTTTTTCAACTCTTATTTTAGTGCAGGGTTTAATGATGTTTCATCGTTTATTTCTAACAAGGAGCTGAAAATATTCAAAGCCTTCAAAGTTATTTTTGTTACGAGCAGGTACCCCATTGCCGGTACGGCTCACAATAAAACCAGATCGTACATATGACATGGAAATTTGCACACCAACATCTATTTGGTTACTGATGCATGCAGCGGGGATAAGACGTGGATCTGTACGCCCACGTAAGTATTTGTGGATGGTGATTGCAACTAAACTTAGATTTCAAAGTGTTTTGATAATTTTTATTAGTTTTATTTTTGCTGGTCTGTCAATTAAATATTTAATTATCTTAAAAAAATATTCAAGCCATGGATTAATTAAATGACGAAATAGCATAAAAGAGTCGACAAGCAAACCAGTTTCAGTAATATCTATTTTTTGAAGGATTCATATAAATTATACTGTATGATATTATAAAGAATATTGCAGAATTTCAGATGAGGAAATTTCCGGGATGATTACAGTAAAGCATATTTACGAGATAGCCAAAATAAAGGCTGTTGATAAATGTTTAGTTGGTGTCCCATTAAAAGTTAGTCGTCTTTATTTACATTTTAACAAAGGAGTTTCGGTATATTAATTTACCAGTTCATTAGTAAGCAGACTTATTGTGCTTTCAATTTTTAAGCATTTCGCTGTATTATCGAAATGAATTTTTCCTTCAGATGATATGTGAACAACTCATTAAAACAGCTCGTACAATTGGGCTTAAAATTGTTCGTGAGGATCTTGACCCAGTGGAATACCGTAAATTTTTGGAAGAACGGAAGTTAATAGTCGACGAACAACTGAAAAGGATAGAAGAAGAAAAAGCCGCTAAGATACTCAGAATGTCACCCAGTAGTTGAAGCCTAATGATGTTAGTGTGAAAAAGTGATTATCTTAATTTCAGACGTATTTTGAAACTGTATGATAATCACGGAATTTAGGAAACTTTTTATTAAGGTTGTCTATAATTGAATTTCAAACCAGACTCCATAGAATGTGGTTATGGTAGCGGAAATTCTATATATTGGGGACAAGCTCAAACGAGCTGTTTTTTTCAGTCTATTTCTTGAAAAGTTCCAGAGTTAAACTTACTCTAATTTTAATGAAGAAATGTTCCGCGGATTAAGATTTAATGAAAATTGATTTTGATGTGGTTATTTTTCGTCAATAGTTTATTTGTCTTTAGTTATTGTTTCCAGCGTTTTGTTTGTAGGTAATATGAAATGTGTAGTAATATTTTCCTCATAAATAAACTCAACTTTTTAAGCGTTTTCGTAGACAGTGGAAAGAATGCATCATTATATTTGATTGGTTGTGTAGATTATAGTTTTTCGATCTTTCGCATTAATTTATGTTAATTTTATACATAAAATCACTAACTATTAATACCCTTTTTTCTCAGACTGCATGATGAACATAATCTAAAAACCGAAAAGCCTAAAGTGCAACCTAACGAAGCGTATTTTTGAATTCACCAACCTGTTAGAGTGTTCAGTCATTAGTTTATATCATCTAGCTGTTTTAATATGTCATATCTCTCATTCATTTAGAATTGAGGTCTGGATACCATGGTCATTCAATAATTATATGTAGAGTTTCTTACTTCTAATGCTTATAACAAGCCGTAGACGGATAAGCATTTTTTAGATTTCGTGATCTGCAAAGATCTATGATGTGTACATTTTTTGCTACTGTAATGACTACGCTATGGTGCTAATAGGTCGTTGCAATTTCCACTTTCATCTCGCTGCAAAATTGATTTTGTAGTGTTCATATGAACACAAATTGATTAATAACTAAAATGACCACTCTTACTATCCAGTTGGTGATACAACAGTTTGTGGTACGTTGCACTGTACGAAAGAGAGGTGAAATCAATGCCTTGTAATCTTTTATTTTGATCTTATGAAGAGATGAAATCATTGATCCTCATCCATTTACACTCTTATAAAAACGTACAGTAAAGAGAAATGTGATACGAGTCTTGTAAACTTCTGGTACTACATAAAGGCAATAGAATTGATCATTAACAAGCCAATTGTATTAGCTTCAAAATGATTATTGGAACTGTACTAACATAATTGCTTACGATTTCGAAATTGATAACTATTCCTCCTTCCTGTAGGAACTAATTTCGTCATTTTAATAGATGGACAGTATAGTGTTAGGTTTCGAATTGAGGACAGGAAGTAAACCATTGGGACAAATTGGTCAATTTACCTATATAATATTGAAGAGAATAGAATGAGGAAGAATAGTGAATGGAAGAGCAGTATGCTTTGCAGACAGATTGCTCTTCATTACTGATCGGTCAATTGACCGGAGATAAAAATTAACCCATCAACGCTAATCAGTACTGTCTGAATTGAATACTTTTCTTGAACGTGTGCAGAAGATCTAGAAATTTCTGGAACAGTGGCCATTCCCTGAGCGATGCGTGGAACGCTCATCGTATCACATCGACAGACATACAAATGTACATGTATTGAATGGGGCTGTTGGCAGAGTGGCAGAGTTGTTGTCCATCGGTAGGATAGGATAGGATAGGATAGGATAGGATAGGGTCATCATTCGGGTGGCATTCTCGCCCTGCAATGATTCCTCTGAGGTGATCGGTATTGAATTTCGAGAAATATCTAATATTATAAACGTTGGGAAGTGGTCATCTCATGAATTTTCATTAGGAATTCTTTCTGAATTCCTATTTTACGAAAGTAACGAATGCTACTATGAATCTTTAACTTTTGTTTTTGCAATTTCGGCAAATTGTTTAGCTTATTTCAGCTTTTGATCATACCATTTGTTGCTCTATACTTCATAGATTATAGTTGCTCTATTTCCTTCCTCTTCCCTCAACTTTTTTTTATAAATTACTTGAAATGTTGAATTTTTAATGAATTAAAATATTGGCGCTCATGAAAAGAGTAGTTTATTTGATAATATTTGCTGTAATATTCTTTTCCAGATAACACAGTGACATGAAGAATCAGTAATGATTAAACGTGTAGCCGATTAGAAAACAGTATTTTTCTATTTTTTTTCGTTTTCTGGAACGTCGATTTTTAAATATTTGAATGGATTTAAATTGAATAAAATGCGGTTGATTCATGGTAAGTTAAAGACGTTAGCAATATTCAGATTTGAAACAGAAAATGTTAAACAGTGATCTGAGAACTTTTCTTTTCTTCAGGAAGAGTGTATGCTAGAATGACAGATTCCATTTGTAGGCCTTTTTATCTTTTTGTTTTCATTATAATATATAATATATGGATGCACAAATAAAATAGGAAATGAATGATTAGTTTTAAGCGATGTACATTTTTGTCTTTAAAGAGCGGATGCTTAGAAAGGAATGATTTCAGATGAGACTTTAGACAAACTTTCAGTTCAAAAAAACATTTTTATCAACATTCAAAATGCTTCTGATTTTAAATCTTCAGTTAAGTCATAGTTTTGTTATTTTTTCATTCATTTATCTGAGTTATTGACTAGTCACAAATTGTAATGAAAAATTTCGAAATGAAATCATTTTTCAAAAACTTCGAAGCGAGAGATGTGTAATTGAAGGTGAAGGAGGTTTTGAAGATAGAGTGAGATTTAAGGAATGTGCCTTTTATCATCTGCGGTAATAGTATCAAAGTGGCCGTTACGGCATATTGTTGAGCTGAAGCTCTGAGCGGCTTACAGGTGGAAATGATATGGATGTTAATAAAACAAAACCGATCGAGTTTCGCTTTTGTTGAATAGATTGCAGAAAAATGAGCAACTATAGCTGATAAGAAGAGTAGCAGATTTCAAAAAAAAAATGACGTGGAAGTTGAGAAAATTGAGAAAATCCCGCCTCATTTTGATTAGCATTTGTCTGAGACTTGTTTTCATCATTGTTTACAGAATATTAAAAAATGCACGCTCTGCAAATTAGCATCATCATGACGTGACTCTTCCTTTCCTCCGTGTCTTTTCTGATGCTTTTACAATGATCTCCTGTAAAGCTGAAACGAAAGATGAAATCATTTCCTTTTCGTTTCATATAATGTGTAAACAGACTGGTGAGGAGGAGGAAATGAAAAGGGCCAAAGATTTGCTATCTTTGAAGGTTTGAAAAATGTTAATGGGCTTGAAAGAGTAGAGTGAGATGAATTCTAGAGAAAAGTAGCGATTTATTTGAATAACCCCCAACAAAGTAATAGGAAAAGAAAGGAAGTGTGCTATTTTTCCGAGCACAAATTCATTGAGATTTTATTACTAGGAGGAAAATAATATCTCATATTGAGAGAGAAGGGGAAAAAGAATGATTACTTCATGAAATTTCAGTCATTTCAGATTGGATTAAAGTTCATAAATAAGATTTAAGGAAACGTGCTTTAACATAACTTATCTATTACATGAACTCATCTCATTCCAGATTACTCAATCTTGTTGAGAGGAAGTCGGATAAGTCGTACAGACACTATCACCAACCGGATGAATGAGTGATACTTTGATGTTACCTGTAGACGATAGAAAATATAATGATAGGAATAAGCGATTGAATTAGAATGAGGTTTGCATAAATGATATTACTTACTACGGAATATCATGTGAAACAGTGAGTTAATTTTCGGATGAGATTATTATTCAATATTGAAAAAAGCCCCAATGCATTTCTCTTCATATATAGGTTAATATTGCATTTTAAGTTATCTGGTCTGGTACCTGAACTTTTGATATTTATTAGATATATATGTACATAAATCTTAATGAAAAATTTAATGCCCACTGTTCAGGAAATTAATAGATTGGAGTAAATAATTCTAAATTCCAGACTTTCAGTCATACAAAATTCCCTTAATACCTTTAACTTATATTTCTCAAAAATGATATTTTACAATTGAATGAAAGAATGTTTATCGTTCTGCAATACTTCATGATGATTTAAAATATTAAAGTGAATTCGTCAAGTTTTTATTTATTATACATATATGTACATGTGTGTCATTTCTATAATAATGATACGGTTTAAGTGATTAGTGTGATAACAAAGATCGGAGATTACCAGTGAATATAGGGAAAATGAAAGTGATGTCTCTCAAATATGTTATCAACTTATTTGTTATCTATTCACGCTTTTAACTTTCTGTTTCAAAAAATCATGCTGATATTTTGACTATTTGAGAGACATCACTTTCATTCTCTCTATATTCTCACTTTGTTTCTCATTTCTATAATAATGATACGGTTTAAGTGACTAGTGTGATAACAAAGATCGGAGATTACCAGTGAATTATTGGCTTAGGATATTCTTGTTATTTTTATTTTTTTGATCTCTGTTGCCAGAATTACTAATGATAGAATTTAGAGATCAGAGATCTTTGAATATCAATGCTAATCCAAAAGTAATATATCAATTTTTGTTTTTTAGAAGTGGTTCACCAAATGGACAAAGATTTAAGTTAGAGCTCGGGAGCTTCAAGTTATTTAACTAGCGAATGAATTACACTTATAGGTGTATAGCTGGCATTATTTCGGGGAATACGATGAGGTATACCATTAAGGAATGTGCGACTTCTGCGACATCTTATCTAATATCGAAATATTGTTCAAAAAAAAGTCTTTGATATTATAGTTACTCAGATTTGTGAAAAATATTGAAAAAAGAATCGTAATAATGGTTCGTTCTAATTTAACGAAAAGCAGCCAAGCAGCATTCATCGAAGGCACATTAGAATTGGAATCCGGATTGAAGATCAATTATGTGGCACCAGCACATGCAGCACCGATAAAAGAAAATTCATCAGCTGAGAATAGTAGTGGCTCAATTACACGTAAAAAAAGCTTTATGGAAGGTAAGATTTATTCATTTGATAATATTAGTAAGGTT